AAAAGAAAAGCCCAGGACCAGACGGGTTCTCATCTAAGTTCTACCAGACCTTCAAAGAAAAACCAACACCAATTCTCCTCAAATTATTCTCAAAATAGAAAAGCAGGGAACCCTTCCAAACTCATTCTATGAAGTTAGTATCACCCTGATAGCAAAACCAGACACATCAAGGAAAGAAAATTTCAGACCAATATCCCTGATGAACATAGATACAAAAACCACCATTTGACATAGCTATGCCACTCCTCCCATATATCCAAAGGACTTAAAATCAGCATAATATAGTGACATGGTCACATTATTGTTCATAGCAGCTCAATTCACAATAGCTAAGCTATGGAACCAACCAGGGGCCCTTCAATAGATGAATGGATAAAGAAAATGTGGTACATATACACAATGGAATATTACTCAGACATAAAGAACAGTTAAATTATGGCATCTGTAAATGGATAGAACTGGAGGCTATCATGCTAAATGCAATAAGCCAATCCCAAAAAACCAAAGGTCTAATGTTCTCTGATATGCAGATGCTGACCACAACAGGGGGTGGGGTGAGGGGAGTACAGGTTCACCACACTGGACAGGGGGGAATAGGGAAAAAGGGAATAGGAAAGACAATAGGATGACTCTGACATAATCTTTCCTATGGTCATGTACAAGTACACAACCAGTGTAACTCCACATCATATACAACAAGAGAGAATGGAAAGTTATACTCTATGAATGTATAATTTGTCAAAATACATTCTACTGTCATGTATAACTAAAAAGAACAATTTTTTTTAAATTTAAAAAAATAAAAATTAAAAAATTTTTTAAAAATCAATAACCTGAATACATTTACAAGGGAAAAGTTAATAAAATACATCCAAGTTACAGAACTACAATATTCTTTTTTTTTTTTTTTTTTTTGGTAGAAAGGAATGAACCCACAGCCTTGCACTCAAAATAAGCACTCTTTATCACTGAGCTACATCCCCAGCTCTCTTTCTAAATTGCTATACAATGGTATAAAAATGTGTCTATTTAGCACAATGTCAAAGTGGCCCTCAATTTCGTAAACATTAAAGTATAAATAATGTGTATGCTTGTTATGCACCAAAAAAAAAAAAATTGGAAAGTAACTGAAAGATGGAAAGACCCATGACTCTTCAGGCACACTACAGTATTTGTATCTCCTACATTCTTCATATGCATATGTTCCCCTTCTACTTACTTATGATTTTTATTTCTATATTTCCAGTGTTTACTAAACCAAATGTTAAATCACTACATTTAAAAAAGGGTTTTTGCCTTTTTGAAAGGTAAAAAAAAAATCCCATTTAAGTTACATTTTTTACAGTGAGGCTTTTTTTCTTTCATTTATTTTTTTCTTATTGCTTGTTTACAGCCTCTTATGGTAAACCTAATACGAACTATGCCTGTTTAAAAGAACAGTTATGTCACAGTTTATATTTATCTTCAACTCCTTAAGAATGACACCTGGGACCTGGGGTCTGGGGTTGTGGCTTAGTGACAGAGAAATTGCCTAGCACACGTGAGGCACTGGGTTCAATTCCCAGTACCACATTTAAAAAAAAAGTAAAACAAAATAAAGGTATAAAAAATATAAAAAAAAAGATATGATACCTGGCACAAAACCTCTCAACCTATAACATGTGACAAGAAAGGAAGGGGGTTGCTGTCTTATGTGGACTGCATAATGGCTCAACTATTATATAAAGTCTCTCCTATGACATGTTATATTCTAAGAGAAATATTCCAAAATATGGGCTGACTCTAATGTTAAGCATAAATAAAAAATGGTAAACTATTTAAGAAATTTCATATGTTGTCACATATAAAATACTTTCAATACTTTAATACTTAGAAAAAGCTGAAACACGTAATTATCTCCTTGTAACACACAAGGCTCAAAGAAAGTGAAGAACTTACTCATCATACTACTGCTAAGAGGCAAAAGTAAAACAATTGCCTAAGCCTGACTGTCCTGTCCCTCTTTTCATCTTAAAGAAATAGTGGCTAATTATTTGCTTCCTCTTAAGAAGGTTCAAAAACTGTACAGCAAAGTGATAGCTCTTTATTTTTTTTTATTTATTTATTTATTTTTTTAGTTGTAAGTGGACCCAATGCCTTTACTTTATTTATTTTTATGTGGTGCTGAGGACCAAATCCAGTGCCTTACCCACACTAGGTGAGTGCTTTACCACTGAATCACAACCCCAGCCCAGTAGCTCTTTTTAAATTACATGCCCTGCTGGGGTTGTAGCTCAGTGGTAAAGCACTTGCCAAGCATGTATGAGGCACTGGGTTCGATTCTCAGTACCACATATAAACAAATAAATAAAATACAGGTCCATCAACAACCAAAAAAATATTTTTAAAAAAAATTACATTCCCTAAATGGTACTCTGCCACTTCCATCACTCACCACTTGCATTTCTCCCAATGTACAGTTTACCTGCAGAATTCTGTCTTATTAGAGCATCTGCTCCTTAGCTTTCTCTTGTATTCTCCATTTCTAACCCACATAACTGCTTGTTATTTATGTTTCTCTTATTGCCTGATCCAGACTTTTACTCATCTGACTTCCTTTCCATGCCTGTGATCACAATCTGTGTCTCACTTTTCTCCTTTTAACAGGTTAATCAATCACTCACAGCTAATCAGATGTTTTTTTAATATATACTTTTTTAACTTGTAGTTGAACACAGTACCTTTATTTTATTTATTTTTTTGTGGTGCTGAGGATCAAACCCAGGGCCTTGCACTTGCTAGGCGAGCACTCTACTGCTGAGCCACAACCCCAGCCCCATCTCATTCTAGTTTTGCACTTCCCTGATGGTCACTGGTGTGGAGCATTTTTTTCATATAACTGTTGTTCATTTGTACGTCTTCTTTTAAACCCTTTGTGTTCATGACAATGATATCTGTTTTTTAAAAAATATTTATTTTATTAGGTGTAGATGGACACAACAGAATGCCTTTATTTTTATGTGGTGCTGAGGATCGAACCCAGGTCACGACCATGCTAGGCGAGTGCTCTACCGCTGAGCCACAATCCCAGCCCCAATGATATATGTTTTTAAGAATGTATTTCTTTTAACTTTCCATTTTTAAGTATAGCCTAGTTTTTATCATTGTTTTTCCCCCTTTTGCAGTGCCAGATATTTACCCCATGGCCTCACATATAAGTGGTCTGAACAGAGCTATAGCACCAGTCCCAAACCAAGTTTTTAAAAAGTACCTTAATTTTTATATATATTAGTTATATATATATATAACTAATGTGTGTATACACACATTAGTTAATGGCCTGTGCTATAATGCTGCAAATGTTTATTTTCTGTAAGTTAATATTTTTAATTAATTTTTGTATTGTTTATAATTTCCATATTTAAATATATAGTCTTATTCTTTCACATGTTATTTATCCTATCAAACTTATATTAGACTAGCCCTCAGAGTCAGAAACATACCCAAACTGTTTTCCTGCTCCTGTATGGCAATCACAATTAGTATAATGTCACAGAGCTGGCATGATCAGGATTAGAATCCAAGAAACGCAAACCTACTTCCCTTTGCACCAAATCATGCTGCCCCATAACAGTTCTCATCAAATTTATTAGATTTAAAAAAAGGACTATGTTTCAAATTTCACACTTCTCCATACTCTATTAATAATATCCTTAACTAATACCTGGTACCTAAATGTAACTTTCTCACTCTAATTTATCCTGATTTATACAATTACAAATAGGGTTACAGTAGAGAAATTGGGAAAGGTACAAATATATGAAAATCTGTAACTACAGAGCTATATATATGCAGAAATCAAATCAAATCAAAACAAAACAAAGGCTTTAAAGAATTTCTAATCTGGTAAGAAAAAAATAATTATGATCACAAATATAATATACTTGAAGGTACATAAACATTTTATATGTTTAGAGGTTGTAGCAGTCTTTTTTTTTAATATTTATTTTTTAGTTTTTGGCAGACACAACATCTTTGTCTGTATGTGATGCTGAGGAACGAACCCGGGCTGCACGCATGCCAGGCGAGTGCGCTACCGCTTGAGCCACATCCCCAGCCCTGTAGCAGTCTTTTAAAAATAATAAAGCATAGATGGAATTATTTATAATAAGTAGCTTATTCATTCTGCAACTAGTCATTTAATACTTTCTATGGTCAAATCATTGAGCTAGGTAGGGGGCATAACAATAATAAAACAAATATGGTTCCCATCTTCATAAGGAGAAACAATTAAGTAATAAACTAATGTAATTAATCTCAGTGGGAAAAATATATTTTAAACTGTGTATCTACAAGCCATAGAAAGTGGGAAGACTGGTCAGGTAAGGCCTAATGAATGAAGCATCATTCAGGATAAGACCTGACCTTGATCTCCAGGTAAGAAGTCAGCTTTTCAAACTGTGTGTGTGAGCATGTGTGTCTTAAAGAGGTCTAATCCCAGGAAGCAGCACATGTAATGAATTAAACATAATGACTTGAAGGTATAAAAAGTTCACTATCCATGTGATTGAAGGTTGTTGAGCAATCAAAAATGATAAAGATGGATTGAGAAAAGTAGTAATTCCACAGATGAAAGTGACTGAAGGTGATTCCACAGATCAAAGAAGTGGCAGATTCAGGATATAATGGAATAAAAGCAAATATATTATTTGGCTATAGGATGGATGAGATTAATGCAAATAACATTTCTAAATCACCTTCTTGTTTAAGGTCTTAACTCAATATTTACTACTTGGTAAGAGAGAGGTTTCCCTTTCATGTATAAAAGGACTAAAAGCCTTATTAATAGGATCATAATGCTAAAAATTCAAGTTACACATTTTAACTTAACTCAAACCAGTACTCTAGTTTCTACTGCACAATAAATAATAATGAGAAATAAGGTTAAAAGACAAACCATGTTAAATATCAAACTAAGAAATGGTTATTAAAAAAATGGTTATTAAAATCTACATACATACCTTTGTCCTTCTTAAAATCCAAAGCATCTTCTTTATCAGTCACTATTTCCTTCATATTGATAATACTCTGGTGTGTAAGCTGCCGGAGAATTTTAATTTCTCGAATGGCTGTAATTGGAAAGCCTTCTTTTTCATTATCCAAACGCACTTTTTTTAAGGCTACCATTTCTCCTATTAAAAGGTTAAATAAAATCAAGTTACCAGCTAACAAAAACAGATGACACTTTGCTTAATTTTAAATTTATTTTAATTCATAATTTCTGTTTTTATCTCTTAAAATTATAAACCCTAGGGCTGGGTTGTAGCTCTGTGGTAGAGCACTGGCCTAGCATGTGTGAGGCCCTGGGTTCAATCCCCAGCACCATATAAAATTAAATAAACAAAATAAAGGTATTATGTCCATCTACAACTAAAAATATTTTTTTTAAATTATAATCCGTAAATTACACTTTAGTTTCCAACATACCAAATAATAATTGCAGTTTAAGAAATTAAGTCTCTCAAATAAATTACAGAATATTTATACAACTCAAGAAATACAACTATTGGGAAGAATGAGATAGGTCTGTATATTTGTTGTTTTATATTCTCCAATGGATACATTTAGTGAAAAAAAACAAGATGCTAAAGAGTGAATATATTATACTACCATCCATTTTTTTAAAAAGAAACAAAGGGTTAATATTCTCATATATACATAAAATATAAGAGAAAATATCCTCAAATATATCACTTAACCAAAGCTAACCAGTCATCTAGTAGTAAGACTGAGATTTAAAGTCTGGTTAGCTGTCTCAAAATATGTCTTTTTTCCTCCCACTATATTAAACTGTCTCTTAATTTAGATAGGAGCAGAATGTTTTCTCTAAGGAGGCTCACATACAGTGGGGCAGGGAGGGGGAGCACGGGAGTAATAGATGAACTCTAGATAGGGTAGAGAGGTGAGAGGGGAAGGGAGGGTACAGGGGGTTAGCAAGGATGGTGAAATGTGATGGACATCATTATTCAAAGTAAATGTATGAAGACACAAATTGGTGTGGACATACTTTATATACAACCAGAGATATGAAAACTTGTGCTATATATATATGTAATAAGAATTGTAATGCATTCTGCTGTCATTTATTTTTTAAAAATCAACTAAAAAATTTAAAAAAAAATTTAGATATGAATGAGTTTTGTATCAGACAAGATCTAATTAATAACACACATGGACACACACAAAACCTATCACAAGCTGCATATCCATATTTAAAGGTTGAGCATCAACTGGTATAAGAAAAAATTCACTATAAAAATAAAAGTATGTTCATTTCACTTTGGAGAAAAAAAAATTTTTGTTCTTGTAAATTTTCTGAAAGAAAAAAGTTTAATAATTTTTATCATTAAATCTTATTATATTCAATTTTATATCTTTCTATAACACAGTATGCTTCCTTGGTTTATTAAAGTTTTTTAAAGTTTTAATCTAATCTCTTTTTGCTAATTGTTATTCTATACTGTAACTGACACATTACACTTAATTCCCATACAACTGTCTCCTCTATACTAAATGTCCTCGAAGAGCTGGCAATTTTAATCTGTTGGTTTATGTCAACAAAGAATTGTAAGTAAAGAAATTTAAATACTACTTCTATGCATTATTGTATGCTTCTGACACAGCTACATTTTCTCTCCTTGCGAGTCTTATAAAAACTTCCTCCCAGGATACATTCTGAAAGATTAAGCTGGCAAATCTGGCCTCCAGGGATAATTTCCACAGGGGGGTAAATTTTTTCTTTTTTTTTTTTTTTAAACTATAGACAAATTCAAATCAAGATAATTTTCCTCCAATTACTAATAGGTAAAGGGTTTGGAGGTGTATGTGTGTGTCTGTGTGTGTGCGTATGTGCTGTATTTTTTTCATCAAAACAGGAAAAAAAAAACCCTAAACTGCATCATACAGAACATCACAAATATTAAAGAAACATTTTTGAAAATACATATGTATATACAACCACTTACATGTACACATTTCTTATGTAAGTGAATACAAAATAAAATTAAAACAAGATAAAGGAACAGTAAATTGGAATTTTGCATTTTTGCAAATTCCTAAAGCTATATATAGAAGAGAAACACAAAGTAAGTATATTCCACAGATCCAAAGATACCCAAAACTTAGCATTCTTACCAGTGTCTTTATCCCTGGCTTTGTAAACTTGTCCATAAGTACCTTCTCCAATAATTCCGATGATATCAAATTTATCCACACAGCGTTTTCCCCAGTCAATATCTTTTTCTTTGATTTCTCCATAGCGAGGCCCACATATTCTATTAAATACAGTTCTGAAGTTTTCATATACAATCAAGCAAATTGAACCAACTTTTTAATAAATCAATATCCATCCTGTACCTAATCTTATATCCATTGTTTTCCATTGAATATAGTGATTGTCTATTCAAGACAAATTAGACTGATTGGACATAAGCTATAAAAACCAAGGTATGATTTCAACATACTGACTTTTCTGTAGACTAGTACTTAAGCCAGGAAAGAGAAGTAGCATAGCATTTATTAAGGGATTTCAGAAATAAAATATAACTCCAGTCAAAGCAACAATAGTAGAAAGAGTCAAAGTTCTGTACCCTAACCTCCAGAAAATTTCATCTTTCATTCACTGACAATAAATTTATGCTATTGAAAACAAACACAAAAATCTAACTATAAACCCTAATGACAAATTTAGATTTTGAAGCTAGATGAAATAATCTTTAAAATGGAAACATTAGAAAAAAAATCTGTTTAAGAGGCACCAACAGCAATCCACAGAGAATATATAAGATATATTATAAGAAATTTTAATATTGCAGAAGATCACAGAAAGTCAAAGAATAAAGCTGTGATAATTGGGGCTGGGGATGTGGCTCAAGCGGTAGCGCGCTCGCCTGGCATGCGTGCGGCCCGGGTTCGATCCTCAGCACCACATACAAACAAAGATGTTGTGTCCACCGAAAACTAAAAAATAAAAGTTAAAAATTCTCTTCTCTTCTCTCTCTTTAAAAAAAAAAAAAAAAAAAAAAAAAAGGCTGGGATAATTAAGGAGGCCACTTTTAAAGTTTCCTAGCTTTCTACTTACACTAAAAAGACTTCCTACTCTTATATTAGATGCTACCTAAATAGGAATTCTAAAGTAAAATATAACTCAAAAGTCTCACACTTTCCTTTGGTTGAGAATTTTTAAAAGGTAGTCAGTGTTTTATCTCTTAGAACTAATGAGAAGGTTTCAAGAAAAAAATTTTACCTAGGCACTTGTAGCTAATTTATTATACAGGTTTCAAACTTTCTCCCATACAATCTCTTGCAAAGAATGCATTTAGTTATGTGGGAAAGGAGTTGTACACATAGCAAAATAACAGCTTGCCCAGTACTAATTTTGTTTGAGTTCAATAAACACTGACTTCCACCTTGTCTAATTTCAGTGTTTCTGGGTTATTTAACTCTATTATAAAATTATCTTTAACACACATAATACCCCAAGAAATTAATACATTAAAAACATTGAAAGAAAATTTAACTTGGTTTTATTAGTTAATATAGATAAGTTTACAATTATAAAATTTTTTATTCAAAACTCTAATGAAACTTGTTTATATTTTTACGTTGAAAAAATAAATATACTTTACATTCTAAATTTTAATTTTGTGTTTTGTAAATTTAAAATGGCCAGAATTGTTTCTGGACAATTTAAGAGCAGGTAAAAAGCAAGCACATACTTAGGCCTCCTTTTACTATGTAACTGTGTTGCTGTTTTCTTTTCCTCTGGACTCTTTGAAAGATCATCTCCTCCTGGTAGCTCAGGGGGCAGTGGTAAATCAGCAAGTAGACATCGGAGTTTCTTCTCTACTTCTTTTTTAACGGCTTTTACTGAAATATTTCCTCTTAAGCTTAAAAAAAAAGGGGAGGGCCACACAAATAAAACACCAAATTTTTTTTGTGCTCACATTTTTACATTTAAGCAGCATGCAATGGCCATGACTTTTCCATTCTATTTCACATTACAAGACACTAACTGGAGGATAACTAAGGAGGACGACGACAACGGGGACAGTAATCTGAATTTCCCTACTTTCCAACTAAATTATATACTCTATTCAACTGAAAATTATAAAATTTAGAGGTAAAATGACAGAATTAGGAAAAAACTAAAGAAATCTGTACAAAGTAGGAACTTGAGTTAATATATTAATATTGATTTGATTATAACAAATGTAGCTTACAAAGATAGGATACTAATAAGAAAGATGGAAACAAGGAAAATGAGGACTCTACAGAATCTTTTTAATTTTTCTGCAGATCTAAAACTGCTCTAAAAAATAATGTTGATCTTAAAAAACAATATATCCTTAATTTCAAAACTGTAATTAAAATTGAAAAAAATCAACTAATCAACTAACACCCTTTGCAGAAAAACTCATTCATTTTGTTATCATCTAGACTGATTTCAGTGGAGAAGCAAAAGATGTTTTCCTAAAAGAAATAAATAAAACCACATGCTACATATAAATAACATACTATTTCTTATAATGCATCTAAATAACCATAAACAACAACTAATTCATTTTTAGGTTCTCTAAATTAGCCGAAGATTCTTCTAAAACTTTTTTTTAAGCCTCCAGCTCACTAAAATTACATGTGAAACTTAAGCTCAGTTAGTTCTATAATTTTATGAGTGCACTAAGAGGTATTATATCTTAACTTGATGCTTGATGATTTTTAAATTTCCCAGATAACCAGAAAATTCATATTCTGATAACGGCATGTTAAAGAGAATCTTATGATCAAAATAAAATTTGGATTTTTATATACTTTCAAAGCAGTTAGGCATCTGATAATGAAAAAAAGTAGTGAGACTATACTGTTATGGTCCAAAATTAATAAAAATGTTATCAATGTAAAACCTTTAAGTTTTCATTTGCTCCTCTATTCATACTGAACAATATTATTATGAGAACAAATAGATCCTTTGACACCATCTGACAAAAACTACTTACCAGAATAAAACTGTGCCTTTTCTTAATAACCCTGTTACTCACTGGAAGATTCTTTAATGGGAAAAACATACTAAAGAGAAATCAGTTAAAGCAGTATATCACACAGCCCACTCTCAATTTTACTGACTCTCCATTCAACAAATATTGTGAACTTCTACCTGCTAGGTGTTATAAGGCATTTAAGACTTAACAACAATAACAACAAATATATTACACTATAGTTCCTTTGAGATAGGACTTTACCGTTTGGAAGACAAAATCAGGTAAGTAGAAGGATAAAGTACTACACAAATGGATTCCCAGAATAGTGTGGTAGTTAAAGGAGAGAAGAGCTTCTTTCTAGAAAATATCCCACTTGAACAATGAAAATATGCCTATTTGAAATAACTTCATTAGAAAACTGTAGCCTCTGACCTGTAATTATACTTTAGCCAAAAATTTTAATTTGTGTGAAGATTCAAATGTACACTGGAAAGAGAGATTACAAGTCATAATTTAACTTACAATTCAAAAAATTTTTAATTTAAAAAGATACTTCTATTCAGATGTTATCACATGAATTATCAAATATTACTTTGGAAGAATAACATTACATAACTGAAAATACTACATTTTTACTGAATACTTGCATAACAAAAAAGAAAATGATTTTTTAAAGTTTCCATATTCTATAAAACAAAGCTTAATAAGAACTGTCAGACCAATATAAAAATAAAAATAAAATATTTGACTACAGAACATAAAACTAGATCTGAACAAATGGAAAAAAAGAATGTTTTTTGTTTGGGAAATGGTGAAACTGTAAAGCTGTCTGTCTCTAAAATACCCTACTACATTTAACAGAGACCCAAACAAAACCTAAGCAAAATTTTTTTAATGCAATTTAACAAGCTGATTTATTAAAAAATCTGTTTAAGAATAAGGTCAAAAGCACCAACCCAGTGATGCACACCTGTAATCCCAGTGACTCAAGAGCCTGAGATGGGAGGATCACAAGTTAAAGGCCAGCCAGAGCAACTTAGTGAGAACCTTTCTCAAAAAGTAAAAAGAGCTGGGGAAGTAGTTCAGTGGTAGAGAGTACCCCTGGGTTCAATCCCAGTACCAAACTAAAAAAAAAAAAAAAGGAATAAAGGCAAAATAATTACAAAGAAACTTTCTGGAAAAGAAAAATTAAGAGAGATTTGTCCAGTCAAAAAAAGAAAATGGTGAGGGTTGGGACTGTAGCTCAGTGGGAATGAGCCTCAGCACCATATAAAAATAAAATAAAGTCATTATATCCCTCTACAACTAAAAAAATATATATTTTTTAAAAACAGCTAATTTTAAAAGATCAGGAAGGTGGTTGAAATCAAAGAACTTACTTGATCTATCCAATGTTCTCTAATAACCTATGAATTGTCAATGTTTTTAAATCAAAAGATTTACATAAATATTCAGATTCCTGGTTTCCATTTTTAAAAAAACAAGCTTGGGGGGCGGGGGCCTGGGGTTGTGGCTCAGTGGCAGAGCGCTTGCCGTGCACTGTGAGGCCCTGAGTTCGATCCTCAACACTACATAAAAATAAACAAACAAAGATTAAAAAAAAAAAAAAAGCAAGCTTCATAACACTGGGACCAGTCTTGTACAGCAGCATTCAAGTTGGATCTCAACAGCAGAGATGTTCACTAATCATTAATTTACTCCCGTCCCTTCAAATTTATATTATGTTTGCTTCTAGTGAAAGCTAATATGTCATGTACCTAAAGATGTTAAAACAGTAAGGTACTAGGCAAAGGAATAAAACATGTCAACAGAAAAATTATAGATAGAGTTATCTGTAAGAATTTTTATACATGGAATTTCAAATTAGTCATTCTATAAACAATATTGGTAACAACACTGAATTCGGTAAGAGCAGAGAATCAACTTTTTCCTTGTTCACACCATAGCTAAAAACAATGTATGAGTTAATCTTTTTTAACTTGATAAATCTGCAAATTTTAAAAGAAAAAAATAATAGGTTTGATTACATAAAAGTGGAAAATATCAATATAACAACAACAAAATGTCAAAAAGCAATACACTCTAAGAAGCAAAGGTCAAAATTCCTAACGTAAGAACACCTAAAATGACAAATTATTAAGCTAAATGTAGTGGTACATGACTCTTCAGTGACTCAGGAGGCTGAGGCAGGAGGATCACAAGTTTAAAGCCACTTGCAAATTAGCAAGGCTCTAAGCAACTTAAGGAGACTGTCTCAAAACAAAAAAATAATAAAGGATGGAGTCATAGCTCAGCCTTTAAGCACCCTGCGTTCAATGCCTGATATCAAAATAAAATAAAACAAAACCCAATTATTAAAAGGGACACAACTTTAAGAAAAATTCAGCAGAGGACAGTAACATACAATTCACTGGAAATAATAACCAATAATTAAATATACCCCATTATCAATCAGGAAAATGCAAAATTCACTATCCATGTTGTTAAAATAATTCCACACATCTGATTATATAAATTGGTATACAGCATTATTAAGATACAATGTGGGCCAGGTGCAGAGGCACATGCCTGTAATCCCAGCTTGGAGGCTGAAGCAGCAGAATCCAAAGTTCAAAGCCAGACTCAACAACTTAGAGAAACCCTGTCTCAAAATATAAAATAAAAATGGGCTGGGGATGTGGCTCAATAGTTAAGTATCTGTGGATTCAATCCCTGGTAGAAAATAAAAAACAAATAACGAAGATACAACTTAGCAGTGCCTACCAATTTTTAAATGCATATACTTTAACATGCACCTATCCTATAAAATTACTATCACATAACTGTTAACATATAAAGATAGTTTATAACAATTATAGAAAAAATAAATAGTGAAAAGCATAATGCAGCCATTTCTTTCTTTTTTCTCCCTTTTCTCTTATTGGAGGTACTAGGGAAATGAACCCAGGCCCTAGCAGGTGTTAATAAACAAGTGCTACACCACTTAGCTACATCCTCAGCCCTTTTTATTTTATTATTCAGACAGGGTTTCACTAAGTTACCTAGACTGGCCTAGAACTTGGCATCTTCCTTCTCTGCCTCCCTAGTAGCTGGGACTATAGATGTGTATGTGTCACACCTGACTTATGCATCCATTTCTATAGATAAGAATACTGGACATGGACCTATCAACAACATGGAAAGATCTAACACCCTAAATGCAAAAAGAAAGAAACATTATACTTGGTATGATCCTAAAAAAAGAAAAGAAAATGATATTACATGAAAACACACTGATAACAGTCTATCTTATATTGGACAAATAGTCTACAGTTTGGGAAGAGAAGTAGAATTCAAAGTTATCTGGCTAAGAAGCAAGAAAGCACTAAAAAATAATGAGGTCAGCTGGGCATGGTGGCAAACTTCTGTAATCCCAGCAGCTTGGGAGGCTGAGACAGGAGGATCCCAAGTTCAAAGCCAGCCTCAGCAATGGTGAGGTACTAAGTAACTCAGTGAAACCTCCCCTCTAAATAAAATGCTAAGCAACTCAGTGAGACCTTCTCTCTAAATAAAATACAAAATAGGGCTGAGGATGTGGCTCAGTGGTCAAGTGCCCCTAAATTTAATCCCCGGTATCCCAAAAAGTAAAAAATGAGATCATATATAAAGTATAAAAGAATCAGCTAAAAGGAGCTCCCACTGGCCAAATTTCAGATAATTCAAGCATCAGAAATAACAGTGATGATGGGCATGGTGGGACATGTCTGTAACCCCAGTAACTCAGGAGGCTGAAGTAGAAGGATCACAAGTTCAAGGCCAGTCTCAACAAATCAGAAAGGCCCTACACAACTTAGTGAGACCCTGTCTCAAAAGAAAAAATAAAAATGGCTGGGGATGTATTTCAGTGGTAAAGGGTCATTGGGTTCAATCCCCAGTACCAAAAATAAAAATAGTGACTTATAGTAACAGAAAATAAAATTCCACAAGACTAGAACGATTAAATCAGGTGGAGAGGCATTTATATTAGCTTTATTAACAGCTGGTATGAAGAGGAATGATAGAATTAGAAAATCACTATCTGTATGGAGCCCCTACTATAGTTAACTGATTTAAGACAAATATCAATAATGGGTGTGAAATTATTAGATGACAGGTTGTTAGATAAAAAAATACTCAAAACACTACAAAGTACAACTTACCTCTACTTGCAAAGGAGAAAATGTACCTTATATATGGGGAGATCTTGAGTTTGGTTATCACCTTAACCAAGTGACAGCATCACTATTACTAAAATAGACATGATTTTTTTTTCTTTTTCTTCTTTTTTGGGAGGATGGGGGCAAGATTTTGAGGGGACTGAACCCAGGACTTGGTCAGTGTCAGGCAAGGACTCTACCACTGAACTATATACCTAGCCTCATATACAACATTTTGTTCTTCCTGTAGTAACAGTTTTAAGTACACAAAATCACCTAAATATTCTGGCAAAAACAATAACAAAACGTTTATTCTTAATCCAATCAAGGACTACCTAATCTCCAATTCACAAGAAATAGAAGGGCTCCAGAGGAACAAATTAAATTAAAGGACAGTAAGAATAATCAGACAAATCCAGAAGATTCTTTGAAAAGTGGAGGGGTTGGGTGGGGAGTTCCAGACAAATTTAAATATGAATAGGTAGTAAATGATGTTATGCCACTCTTAATTTTCTTAGGTAATTGATGGTAATATGATTGAAAAGGAGCCTGGAATCATTCTTGAGAGACAAATGAAGTATTTAAGAGTAAAGTATCATGACAGCTACCACTTATCTTCCTATGGTCCAGCAAAAAGTACTACACACACATACATCTCCTATATTAGTTCTCTTAATTAACTAGAGATAGAACATGAGCATATAAAGGAAAATGCTAACACCTGCTGAATATATTTAGAGGTTATACAGATGTTAGTTTTATTATTCTTTCAACTTTTTAAAATTTCTGAATATTTATAAGAAAAAAAAAGATGTCAGAGAGGAGGAGATAATTTACTTGGTCATCCAATAAAGTGAAATGTAACAATGTACTAAAGGAGTACAGATTTGCAAAACCGAAAGGTCACACAAAACACATAGTCTTTTGCTAATTTTTGTGAGACATAAACAAAAACAGTTCACCAGGAATAGAAGAGGCATATTTAAAGAAAGCAAAAATAAGATACTTTCCCTAAGATATGCCTAACAAGATTATACAAACTATTCTCTTTTAAAATTTACATGGAATAAGTAAATAAAGATTTCTTCTATCTTCAGGTTTCCTAAAGCACATTCTAACAGAAAAGATGGTTTCTTTAAAGTATACAAGATTATAAAAACAAAATTTTAAACACAAAATGATGGTTACTTTAAGGTACTTGGGGGAGAAGAAATGGGGAGGCTGGCTGTGAGTGGTTTCTGCATTATAAAAGGATGAAAGAAGAGCATGCAGGAGCCAACAATAGTTTCTCTCTTACAAACAGAGCTCTAGGTCTGTAATACAACATTGTTACAGTATTAGACAATATGTTCATTTTCACTTTCCTAGTTGTAAAATAATCTAATATAATCTGAGTTAGGAAAAGACTAAACTAAAAAGTTTATTAAAAAGTAATAAATCCATAAAGAATGTGATAAATTAATAAGGCCACCAAAGAAAATTAGATATAACTGAGATAAGGCTGAGGGTGTAAAGCTCTGTGGTAGAATTCTTGCTTCACATATACCAGACCCTGGGTTCAATTTCCCAGCATCACAAAACAAACAACAAAAAACAGAAACAAATAAATGAGATTCATATCACACAGGGAAGAGTCTCACAAAATGACCCAGTTATGATAGTTATTATAATGGATAACTAAGTCAAAGAGATTATTGGCATTTCTAATACTCATCTTAAGATATTGTATTATATCCCAAGACAGTGGCAATTTTTTCCAAACTTCTCAGCATAAACAATAATTCTGAAATGTTATAAGCAAAGATGTACATAATAAAGAAAATTCATTCACTTAAGTCTTTTTAAATTAACTTTGGAGGTAGGGATTAAGGGAAGTTAAATCATTTCTTACTCCAAACTGCTATTTTTCCTTTTAATAGTTACTGTCAGTTTGTTTGCACTTACCTATCAGCATCTTTATCTTCAGGCAGCATAGGAGGCAAAGGTAATGGTGGTAATGTAGAAGTCACTAAAGACACATGTTGCTCCTTCTCTTTAGCTCCTATGCTTGGCGTAGGTGGTTTGGTTTTCTCTTTAAGAGATACTGGTTCCTCCTTTGTAGCAGCAGATTTACTCTCCTTCCCAACTACAACTGTTTTCTTGGTGGCTTTATCTACAATCAAGTTATTGTCTACCTTTGTTACCTGAAGAGGTGGCTTTGTTTTTGCCTTATCATTTTTTAAAGTTCCACCACTTGAGGGAGAAGGTGCATGCTCAGTTTTAAGTTTCTTCACATCCTTCACATGGTTTGTCTGTGATACACTGGCACCAGTTTCTGTGTTCCCCTTGGTAGGTGTAGAAGTGTTTGAGGCTTTTGCAGCTTTGGCAGCTGCTTCAGCAGCCTTGGCTGCCTCAGCAGCCTTAGCTGCCTCTGCAGCTCGTGCTGCCTCTGCAGCTCGTGCTTTTTTATTCTTGTTCAATTCAGCTGCCAGGCTACTCTTCAGAGTTAGTGTGCTGGGAGAAATGCTAGAATGACGACTTCTGGATCTAGACAATCTGTGCCTGCTACGAGATCTTGAATGCCTAGATGAATATGGACTTCTGCTTCGGGATTTAGCAGATCGTCTGGTGGAAAATAATTAAGATTTAGTTAGTAACTGAAAAAGTTAGTCTAAAATTTACAAAGAGTGCTAACTTAAGTTTGTGAAATGAAATGAAGCTTATTTAATTTCAAAATTATAATATAGCTTTTCTGGAAGACTTTTTAAAAATCAAAAAGTGGTTTATAGTTAAAATATGATCCAGTGAGGTTGGGGATGTGGCTCAGCGGTAGAGCACTTGCCTAGCATGTACAAGGTTCCAGGTTCAATCTCCAGCACCACCAAAATAAATAAGTAAGTGTGTGTGTGTGTGTGTGTGTGTGTGTATGAATGATCCAGTAACTATAATTTTCTTGAAAATAGATTGTTCCTTCTCTGGCCTATGAATGCTCAAAGGTGAAACTGGATTAAAGTATACCTTATTAAGAAAAAGAAAAGACTGTAAAAATCAGGAGGAAAAAAATGACAAAGCATCACTGTTATCTCAGAAAACAGAAGCAAGCAATGAGGATATATCAATTTACCAGGAAAACAGTTTCTACATTTCCAAATACCCATAAGTTCAGAAGTAAAAAGCTACCATCAGGGAATGAATGAATGAATGAATAAATAAATAAATAAATAAATAAATAAAATCTTTTCTGAAGATTAATTTCAGAAAGATAGTTATACACTGACTAAAATACGCATATGCATTATCGCTTCACCCACATAAACACAAAATGGCATAAAATGTATACATTCAAATATTATACAAAATGGCTTATATGCATGACTTCATACAGGAAATACAATGAAAAAAACCATACAACCATTCTCAATCTGAAGTGCTCTTGATAACCTTTTCATAAATAAATGGCAAAAAAAACTTATATGTATGTATAAAACTGAGTCTTCAAAGTGTTTGACAATTATTACTTTATTTTACCATAATACAATAAAAAACAGGAGCTGAGATTGTGGCTCAGTGGTAGAGTACTTGCCTAGTACATGTGAGGCCCTGGGTTCAATCCTCAGCACCACATTAAAAAAAGAATAAACAAATAAGATTAAGTTATTAAAAAAAAAAAAATGAACTAGGTAAGTGTTATACTCCAATTTCTCAGAAGAGAAAAGTCCAGACAGGTAAAGTAAGCATAACTATAGGTTATCAGGCTCCAGACTACAAAATTATAAAAAACTAAATTCTGGAAACTACTTAATAATAATGGTATAATTCACTATCAAAAATTACTGAAAAATCCAAAAATTACTATAGATTTAAAAATATGAGGGCTGGAAATGTAGCTGAGAGACCACTTGTATTAGCATCTGCAAGGCCCGGAGTTCAATCTCCAGCACCATAAAAAATATACCTATATGTATATAGATGATGGAAACCAAAGTTCCAAAACAAATTGGCACAGCATCAAGTGAAATGAAGCTGAGTTTTCAAAGCTTTTCCAAAGCTTTTCAAAGCCACACATTATGAAAATAAAACAATTTAATATACTCACAAGACAAAGACTCTTGATACTATTTCTGCATGTTACTTAATGGCCACATTAGCCTATTAAATTACATACATTTAACAGATGAGAAACTTATGTGTAATATTGTTACCTGAAATCAGAGTCACATTCCTTAGTAATTGTGTTGGTTATTATTTTTTATTACTATCTTATCTAGCAAATACTCTTCTGCCTTATTCTGTACCCAGTACACTAACTACAACAGATTCATCTGGGTTCCAGAGCTGTCTGACACTGGCAGAAGACCAGAAGACAAAGAAAGGCAAGATTATTTCTTCCCAGCTCCCTCTCTTTTCTCCACAGTTCTAACCAGACTCCAACAGCACAGTATTTTTCTTGCCATTTCAAGGTTCCTTGTTACTAGCAAAAACATACCTTATAAATTCCCTTAATCCACACCACCTCTGCAGTTTCTTCATTAAAACCTCTTGAACCATCTAAATTGGATCCCATTTACTTTTAGAACCTTGACTGACTTCGTTGTACATCAGGTCTTAAAATCAGATTTTTAAACAAAATTAGGTAGGCCAACCCAATGAACATATTGCCATGGAAACAGCTCTTACTGAAATGCTGTAAAAATTATAGGAATAAGGTAATTGAAATTTTGTAGAAATTATGGGGAGAGGGTAAATAAATGAAGAAAAGAAACTATAGGGGCTGGGGTTGTGGCTCAGCAGTAGAGCTCTTGCCTATCACGTAGGAGGTGCTGGCTTCGATCCTCAGCACCACATAAAAATAATAAATAAAATAAAGCTATTGTGTCCAACTATAACTAAAAAATAAATATTAAAAAAAGAAACTATAGGACTCCATAATTAAAATCAGACAAAGTAATTGGAAATTTCTGTTTATAGCTGACACTAATAATATAGTGGAAGGAGGTGTTAAAAAACATTCTGCATTATAATATGAAAACAAAATGATGATTAAGGTTAGGATAAACTCAAATGCAATTAAATTTCTCTCTCATCCTTTCAAAAATAAGTATGTGTGGAGGGCCAATTAGTGTTCAGCATTGAGACAGCACTTCAAACAAACTGGGTACTTTACATAAAACTTCATATTAAGATTGTTTCAGATTAATGGGAACACTATCTTAGAAAATAATCCAACACTTGCTTATTACTAAGTATTCTTATGCACCAATTTAAAATTACCAATAAGCTTACAATTATTCATGCAAATGAGCAGAAATGCTTGGTTAAATGTGAAGTCATTAAGTTGGTTGCAAAATAACTTGGGTATCTTTAATATGGAAACAAATGTTATAAAACATCTGACCATATTTTTAATTTCCTCTCCCTTCAAACTCTGTTGATCTTAAAACAAGTCTGATGTAAGTCACATTTCTATCCCCTGATTAGATATTGGAGAGCAGTAGGAGAAAGCAAAGAGACCACCATCTCATCAAAGGTAACAGGACAAAAGGCTTAGAAAGCAACTTTTCTAAAATGAACTTTCCAACACTGGCAAAACTATCAGTTTCGTACAAACACAACAAATTATATTTACTGGAGATATTTATGAATGAATCCTGTCTAAGAAAAGACATACAAAAATAGGTCAAATCCCAACAAATTAATTCTTCTGGTTTATTGAAGTATTCTCTTACAAACAAGATCTGAATAAAAGAACTATCAGTTAACTTAGAAATTTTCTATTCTGTAAAAAAAGGGTATTCTGAATATGACATCTTTAATGGTACTTGAATGCTATACCAAATGATTTTAGATTCACCCTCCATTCCTCCCAAACTCCTCTATTTCTTTACAAAATTTCCTTATCTTATATCCTAAAAACTTTCATTCTCTCAGACATTGCAAACTTGCTAATAAATTCTAATAATATATTTACTGCTTAAAACAAACATGGTCTGGGAACGTAAAATTAAGTATAATAACAAAACTCAAGTTTAGGTCATTATCTAATTTAATACTTAAGCCATACAAAGTTATGAGGGTGAGAGAGAAGTGTTCTTTAAAACTTTATTAACAAATTATACCATTATAATGTCTTACTAAAAGACTTGGAACAGGGTAGTAGTACACATCAAGTCTAACCTTTTATAAATAAGAGATTATTTTTAAAAAGTGATTTTAATATTTCTATTTTCTTGAATCCACAATGAACACATATTAGTTAATTGTTTCTTGATTGTTTTCAATGATTTTAAAAGGACCTCTTTAAAAAAGTTAGTCAGGTGTGGCAGCATACACCTGTCACCTCAGCTACTCTGAAGGCTCAAGCAAGAGGATTCCAAGTTCAAGGCCAGCCTCAGCACTTTAATGAGACTGTTTCAAAGTAAAAAATAAATAGTTCAGTGATAAGAGTGCCAGAGACTCAATCTCCAGTAACACACACACACACACAAGAAACTTCACTATTTTTATAAGAGTTTTTTCTAAATTCACACAACTCAAATAGAACCAGGATTAAGCTAATTAGTCTTCCTTAGAAAGAGAACATGGTATACTGCTCACTCAATTATATTAAGCTCTCCAAAAATCCAGGTCTTCTGAAAATTGTGCCTAATTAGCAAACACAAATTCTGACAGCTTTATCCCCCACACCACTACCACCACCACCATCACAGCTCCTGTCATGCAAACTTTTCTCCACCGTTATGACCAGACTCCAAAAGTACTATATTTTTCTTACCCCTTTGGAGTTCCTTGTTACTAGTTTAAAAAAAAAAAAAAATCCCCATTGAGTTCCTTTGATCTACCACCTTCTGTGGTTCCTTCATTAAGTCTCTTGAAATGTAAATTGGATTCATTTCTTTCTACAAACTTGACTCATCTAGCTGTACACCAGGACTTAAACCCAGATTTTTAAGTGCCTACATCCAAATTTTGAGCTTCCTAAGAGTTCTACTATAGTAATGTCCAAATCTTTATTAGATAAAATATTTGAGAACAGAATCATCCAATAGACCTTTTTGGGATAATAGTAATGTTCTACACGCGTGATGTTCAATACAGTAGCCAGTATCTATATTATTTTTGAGCCTAACGTTTCTGTTTTTTTCACATTCTAAAAACTGTTGTTGGCAAGACACGATGGTACACACCTATAATCCCAGCATCTCAGAAGGCTGAGGCAGGAGGATTGGAAATTAGAAAGATTGCCTTAACAAGATCCTCAGCAACTTAGCAAGACCCTGTCTCAAAAAAATAAAATAAAAAGGGCTGGGGAAGTAGTTCAGGGATAGAAAGCCCCTGTGTTCAATCCCCAGTACCAAAGTAAATTAATATTAATCAAAATTTTAAAACCCTGTTAACTTCCTAAATAGCGATGCAAATGCTTACTGAACTGAAAAGCACTGTTGCACTAAATATAAAGTGGTATTACTTTTTCAAAAACTCATCTCCCTCAAGCATCCCTTTCACTAATTTCTTAGTCAAACTCTTTACATATTATATCTCTGCTCCATTTATTTTTACAGACACCATAACCAAACTAATCCGTAGTGTTCACTGATTATTACATGATCCACATTCACTCACTTTCC